TATTATCTTTATAAAAATTATATTATTAAATCAAAAATAAATTACTTTGTTATTAATCTAAATTAAATTATAATAAAAAAAATTGAATTAAAGAAATTACACCAAAACCACAAAAAAATTATGTTATCTTCAAATTTATATTTTATTTAAAAATAAAAACATAACCGCTTTCTCAAAACTATATAAAATCGTATTATATCGATAGAGACAAAGAATAAAAGTTAAACATTAAAATCGAAATTTATCTCTCTACATTGCGCGAGTACCCTTCTAGTAATTTAAAAACAAATTAATTTATTTTTGATTTAAAAAAATAATTTTTTAAGATAATAATTAAGTATTTTCTTATAACCAAATGATTATCTTAATTATATTTTAGATTTTTTATATTTAAAATGATGTTTATCATGTATTTGAGTATGTTAATGTGCAATAGTTACACAAATTCAAAGATGAATTTTTAATAAGATGTATTTATGCATATTCTACTTGTAATCTTGAATTTAAATAATATGTATGAATAAATAATATTTTATACGTAAAAAAATTGTTTTAAAAAGTTTTTATCATTTATAATATAGTATAGATAAAACATGAGAAAATAAATTAAAATGTAAAAAATTTGTTGTGATATTAAACCCACCAAAATAAATATAATTTTTTGAACAGAAGTCCTACGGCGCCGGGAGTTTCCCCGCCAGTATATATACCTATATTTTGAATGCAAATGACTCCACTTTTAACTCTTGTCTGAAAGGAGGAGATGAGGAGGAGGTTAAGGAGAAAGTCATCGGCAGCAGATCTTCTAATTGCGCCGCCGTCGTTGGCCGCGACTCCGAATCGATCACTGACTGAATCTCCGAAGATTTTCAATTGCAGTTCAAGCTGCTTCAATACACCTACGAATTCCTTCTCGTCTCTAAAGGAGGACAGCAGAAGCAACAACAACAGCAGCAAAAAACCTGCTGCAGAGCCGCCTACCTCATCATCTCCGGCGCCGGCGATGTCTTCACTGAATAAAGCAAGCAGCAGGATCGCCGATCTGAAGGAAATGGCATCGTCACGCATTGATTCGATTAAGCGTCAGATCGATTGCTCTTATATCGGTATACTCAAGGATATGGAAGTGTCTCACTCTCGCCTACACAAACGATATAAGGTCAGTGAGTATTCATTTCTCCCTCTTTGCGTATGTAAAAAATTAGTAGAGAGAATGCTAGTTTCTGCTCGTATATATTATTTTAGTATCGATCTTAGTTATAGACAAGTCAATGTAAAATTAACTTTAGAAAAGTTTGTCCTCCTTGTCGATGTATAGTCACATTGAAAGTTAGTTCTGAACTTCTGATGAAATTATTGGTAGAAAGCGTAATTTCAGCTTGTAGATTTTCTCATTTTTTAGAACTTAATTGTATGAATATTTATATCTGATTATTCATGTGTTTCTCCTATTTCTTAGTAGGAATTTCAATTCTGATATTCATATGCAATTAGAAATGGTAATTTCTTCTTACTTAAATGAGCTATGGAGAATTTTTTTTCCTTCGGTATTCATGTGTTAGTTTATAAAATCAAGAAGTTCATTGATATGATTTTACATTCATAAGATATTAGATAATTGAAGATCACTTTTCATGTCATTTTATAACCACAGATCATGTTATATAGCTTCTTTTGATCGTGCATTTCTATCTGAAGAACATAAACACAAACCTTATCTCACACAGAAAAGGATCATTCGGGTTGTTTTTGTAATTTAATTTATTACATGCAACTGGAGATTGTATCTTTTATTATGTGCTGATTATAATGCAGAGACATAGAGTTGCTTCGTATATGTTCTCTACTTCATGTAGTCTTTGAAGAAATTTTGGATTTAAGAGTTGGTTCTTATAAAGCTTTGCCTTTGACCTTCATTAAACCGAGGAAACACAAGTAATGATTGAACTTGGCATGTTTAATTGATATATGTTGGTAGAGAAGTGCAGGATTCGATGTAATATAGGTGATAGCTAGAAACAAATATTTATATATGTGGATTTTTAATAACCTGTGTGGGGATTCATATCCATTATAGACCTCAAGTCCTTGATTCACCAATTCAAGTTCTGGACCATCACACACTTGTGATCTTTTCGTACTAGTATGCTGGTAACTGAACTCTGCTTACCCACAATGCGGTATACATGTATTTGAATCACATGACCAGAGTTACGCATATTTTCACCATAGAGTAGAGATGATATGGATCTCGTATGGATCACATTAGTGTTAGGTAGAAATGGTATGAATCTCGTATGAATTACCTTGCTTTTATTTTGGTCAGATTATAGATATTAACTGGTTTTGGGGAACTCAATGGAAGGAGGAATTACAAGTTATGATTAGAATATTAGTTATCATCTATAAAGAATTCAAATTGCTTCCAGAGTTCCATCACCTACCAACAGTTTTTCTTAACGTTTATCTCCCTTATCTCTGTGACTATGTCTGGAGGTCCAAAACCAAGCATGTGAACAATCAATGGATGAAGCTGAAAAGGATTTCAAGAAGATGATTGACCACATTAGGGAAACTCATGACGCACTGGAAGTGAGTTTGTCCAGTCTTTCTCCAGACACTCGGTGCTCAAAGCTCTCCATTAGTTTTACATGTCTCACAAGATTGATTGTTTCAGGCATCGTATATGGATCTGATAGCAGAAGCACAGGCCCGAGCTACTCGTCGTATGTCCTAACTCATTTCATGTAAAAAATTATGCATCTGTTATGGTTTGAAAGAAGCATATATGTTTGCTTCAGAATACTCTAACTTGATTAAGCTCTTTGCCCATACTCAAAAACTCAGTGTGCAAAACAACCTTCCCAGAACTTTCTCAATCTGTAGAGAAAGCCATTGATGAACTAAGGAACTATTATGGGGCTGCATCTGCTTGATCATAGATTACCTTAACTAATAGTTAGGTGAGTAAGCTTTTGGTAGACATGATTAATGAACTTAGTTCTTCTAATCTAAAGTTACTTCTGGAATGCATTTGTATATATACAGTCAGGTTCATATGAGAACAGTAATCAAATAAAAGAACACGAAAAATGACCGAATTACAAGTGATTTTACTCTAAAATCATATGTCAAATCACATGCGGTTTTGGCGCGACCTAAGGTTGCAGTGGCCTGCTCACCCTTGTGTTAACTGTTTTCGATAGTCCCATATAAAATCACTTGTGATTTGGCCGTTTTCATGTTCTTTTATTTTGACTAGGGTGCTCATGGGTTGGGTTGATCGGGTTGAAGACATTTGATCAACCCAACCTAATGCTTGCGGTTTGAAAAATCTTAACCCAACCCAACTCAAACGAAAGTGCAACCCAAACCGCATGGGTTGGTCGGTTTAGTCGGGTTGGTCGGGTTGATACTTTGGTACATTAAAATATTATTCTAACCTTGAATATGTTATTTCTCTACTCATAATTTATTTTTCATCATCAACCATTTGATACAACTTATACATACTTCTTACATATATCACATTCAGTTAATTTTCTCAAATTTACGTATATATGTTTAAAATTGCTGAACATATATACGAATGAGTTATATAGAGATGTGAATAGATTGAAAAGATATGTATATGAAGAGCGTACGTGATAGTGTTATTGTCTAATGCATATATTAATAGAAATTCAACAATCATATTAAATCCAAGAAATAATAGGATATCGGGTTCATCGGGTTGGGTTGGATTCAAATAATGTTCTCGTTTGATCCTTCCCCCCTCTCTCTATATATATACATATGTGCTAGGAGATGAAAAGTGATCCCATGATCTGAATTCTCGGTTGCATACTTTTGTTTTTAAATTACTTATAGATGTTACGGCACTTGAACCATACTAATCATCAACCAAGCTCCTTTATATTTTCCAGGAAAAAAGCTACTGGAAGAGGTTGTTCTTGAGGCATCATAGGTAATGCAACTTCTTTTGCTCTATTTACTGTTTCCAGGTTCTAGTAACTAGTTTTTCACTGTTAATAAGCAGAATTCGTTGGTAGGATTATAACTAGATCTTTAGATGATGAAACAGTTGGTCGAAGGAACTGAAAGTTCAAATTCAACAAGGGATTAGTTCAGAATGTGATAAAAGTTTCCCCAAGTCCTTGACGTTTTATAGGTTTTTATGAGATGAACTTAGGTTTCCAGTTGTCTAAGAAACAGTTGTCATCAGTCTTCCAAGCCCGGGCCTTCAAGCCCCTAGCAAATATAAGACGTCCGAGCCGGGCTTTGGACGTGCAAATAGGACTGATTGGGCTTTTTTAAGTCGAATATTTTCAGATAAGGCCTTAACCGGACCTCGAATTTTTTTTAGGTATGAACAGGCTTTAAGGTCTGGGACTGGGATAGTCTTCGACTTGGGCTTATTATGTCTGGGCTTTTTCAAGAGGGGCATGGGTTTGGGCTCTTTCTCCATCTCTAATTAAGACCACTTACGTTGTTCAAGCACACTCTTCATAGAGGTGGCCAAAAATCGGTCTCGGGCCGGGCCATAACCGGTTATGGCCAGTCCCGATCAGGACAAAAACGTTCCATAACCGGTCCCGGTTCCAGTGAAATCCTCCATAACCGGTCAAGCTTACCGGTAACCGGTTAAGCCGTCCGGTCCCGGTTCCGGTCCATAACCGGTCAAGCTTACCGGTAACCGGTTAAGCCGTCCGGTCCCGGTTCCGGTCCATATCCGGTTACGGCCGGTCCTTTGCAAAAAAAATATTTTTTTTTCCAGTTTTTTTGGTAATTAATATTTTTGAAATATGTTATTTTTAATATGTTTTATTATAAATACGTTTTATTATAAATATGTTTTAAAATACGTTTTGTTATATATATACGTTTTCTTTTATATATATATATATATACGTTTAATTTTATAAATACGTTTAAGAATACACTTTAAAAATACATTTATTTATCAATCTTCATCGGTATCCCATGTCGGATTGACTTGAAGAGTTCCGGTCGCTTGAATTCTTCTAATAGCCTCTTGGTCTTTAAGGTCATCAATGTCGAATTCCTCATCATCGTCATATTGGGATTGGGAGTAAGTGCTCTCGGTATCGGTACTTAGTGGCGTGCTTAGTCCCATAGAGATTTCATTTTCTTCAAGATTTTCTTCCACCGTTTCAATCTCCGTCTCTAAAGATGTCGTGTGTTGAATCTTATCAACGCTATCCAAATAATCCTTCAAGCAAATGCAACACTCCACGGACTCCGGGCTTAGTCTTGTCCGACGTACCGAAATGATCCTGCCACTAAGAGAAAAAGCACACTCCGAAGCTACAGTACTAGCTTGGATTGTTAGTACATCACGTGCGATGCACGCCAAAATCGGGAATTGAGGTTGTTTTTGTTTCCAAAAATCTAATAAATCAATTTTTTCAAAATTTTCAACATCATTTGCGGGACATGGGGCCATAAAGTTAGTATGTACATACATATTTAGTTCACCCAAATCGTTATCGTATCGACTTTTTTTACTTGATTCATTTAAAACTTCGTTCATTAAATTAGTCATCAACTCTTTACGACTTTGCCGATGACCACTAGAAGAAGAACTAGGACCCGCAAAACCACGTGAGGAAGGTGTTTGTGGTTGGTGTCCTCCTCCATAAAATTGTTTGTAATGATCAAATAAATCTTGAAAATTGCGATTAAATAAATGTTTTTGTTCCATTGAAAAAGAATTATCCGTAGCGGAGTCTAAACCAAAAGCCACATATATTTGTGTAATTAAAACTTCAGCACCAACAATATTTAAATACGGGTTTAAAGCCGCAGCACAAAGAAAAGGAAATGGGATACCCATAAAATATTTTAGCAATTTTTTTTCATGCAAGACATCAACGTTCTCCAATCCACATAGTCTTCGTATTGGGCAATTTTACTTGCCAAAATATAGATTTGGTTTAAAACTAAAGGGCTTGTTGGATAATAAATTCCCGATAAAAGTGTCATCGCATTTTTAAAATCCCCTAAAATGTCGTACAATCCTTCAATCACGGCCCAATCGAAATTCCCAATAGAGTTTTGAGGATAATGGTTTCTATAAAAAGAAAAAAAAATATAATTTTTTTGTTTTATTAAATTTTCAATCATAAAATACGTCGAGTTCCAACGAACGGGCATATCGTGGTTCGGTCTCAAAGCTCTAAAACCGATGTCTTGGCAATACCTTCTATAGGCCGCATACATTTTTTTACCTTTAGTGAAAATTCGCCGCAACATAAGTCTAAACTTATCTATTACGGGTTTACAAGTATTTAAACCGTCTTGAACGGCTAAATTTATTATATGGGCACAACAACGTGTATGAAATAATTTTCCGTCTAAAATAGGTGTCAAATGACACTTTAATTTTTCCACACAAGCATTGTTATTGCTAGCGTTATCAAACGAAATACTAATTATTTTAGCGGTTAAATTATAAAATACAAGGTTTTTTTTAATAATCGAATATTGACGTGCACCCAAATGTGGCGCACCAAACGGTTCAAACGCGATTACACGTTTGAATAATTGCCATGTGTTAGGGTCAACCCAATGTGCCGTTACGCATATATACGAAACCGGCAATCCATATGGTGCGCTCCATACATCACACGTTAAAGAAATATTGTTAGGCAAAGAAGAAAACATTTGTTGCATTTCGTCTTTGGCAATTTTTCACATTTTTAGAGCATCACGTCTAAGGGTTTGACGACTTACCGGCTTGTATCGTGATTGTAGCGTCTTTTCAATCATCTTCGTAACGTGAGGGTTGTCGAAGTGTCCAAAAGGCAAACCGACTTGAATGACACATTGTTTAGTCATTTGTCGGTTTAAATCGGCATCGTAGTTCCATATTTGACCTTGTGTGTCAAGTATCGGTTGGCTCGAATCACCCCCCGACCTCAACCCCGGACACGTTTTTTCGGTGTGCTTCCTTAACGTAGAATTTACTTCCGCCGTAAGGAGAGTTTGACACATTTTGCATTGTGCCTTTCGTTTGAGAACCACCAAGTTGTAGTGATTCCAAATCTCGGACTTTCGTTCGTGTTCGGCGAGAACTTGAGCAATTTGTTCGTTTGATGGATGTTCACCGGCCATTTTGTAAATCGTAAGTAAAAGAGAAAAATAAATGAGAATTGTGAAGTGGAAACGAGAAATTAATACGTAACGAATTCAAAAAATGAAGCGAAAAACCGAGAATTGATAGYGTTTTTTGCGTTTTTGAAGATGAGATGAGTTGGTAACAAACTAAGGAACTCCCATCTCCATTTATACATGTTTTGGTAGCTAGAAAGATGAAAAAACGGTCGTAAGGAGGCTCCAACGGCTAGTTTGACCATTTCTAACGGCTCCTTTGACTTTTAACGGCTAGTTTGACTTTTGTTGACTTTCGTTGACCGGGCCGAGCCGGGCCCATAACCGGTTTCATAACCGATTCCGGTCCAAGAATTCGCTAAAAACATCAACCGGTTCATAACCGCCGGTTCACAACTGGTTACCACCGGTTCCGGTCCCTCGCCGGTTCCGGTTACGGGCCTCCACCGGTTACGGGCCGGGCCCATTTGACCATCTCTACTTCAGATCATAGAGGTGCCATTTGAACAGATTTCGGTTTCTATGCCAAACCAAAACCGTTAACCAAGTATATCTTTGAGGGTTTTTTAATTTAAAAAATATAAACCTAAAAGGTTTTGGTAA